TTCTTTATGTTTATCTTCTTAAAGGTGTTACAAGAACAAATTAATTACTGTCCATAAAAATCTTTGATGAAGTTGCTATGGTGACGCAAATTATATTGAATTCTTATTATAGTCAAGCTGGAGTATGACTAAATGTCTTTCACAGAAAAGCAACATTGGGTAAATCTTCGCCAAACACTTTGAAAATGGCTTTGAAATTATTAAATGGGCAGAGCTCTACTAGGCTGGGCAAAACTAAGCTGCTCAGAAATGCATCAATACCCTTAGATTGCTATATACAGTCAGTGAGTGGCCTGGTTCTAGCCGTGCAGCTGCTCTGGAGTTCTATGTTGCCAGAGGTACAAGAAATGAACCATATATATAGTCCTAAAATATATGGTTCTTTATTATTATATTTTATATATATGTCATGGACGTGGGCATATGTCACAGCTAGCTACATTTGAGAATCCAAAGAGCTAGTGGTTTTTGTTTCCTACAGTCTATTCTTTTCTGTATCTTACGTCTCTAACTCAAACAGATGCTAAATTCCTGGGGCTAACAGCAAATTCACCTTTCCTGAAAAGCTGAGGAAAATACTATAAATGAAACTATGGGGTCATGGGAAACATCTGGATTGTAGCATGTTTCCAAATCATTTATACAACACTGAAAGCGTTTCCCAACCTTATTCAGGTGGCTTCACTGCCTCTGGCTTCCCTCCTCCTTGCCTCCTTGCCCCATCTTAGAATCATAGAATAGTTCAGGTTGGAAGGAATCTTAAGGATCATCAAGTTCCAACCCCCCTGCCATGGGCAGGGACACCTCCCACCAGACCAGGTTGCTCAAAGCCCCATCCAGCCTGGCCTTGAACACTTCCTACAACTTCTCTGGGCAACCTGTTCCAGTGTCTCACCACCCTCACAGTAAAGAATTTCTTCCTAATATCTCATCCAAATCTCCCCAGTTTCAGTTTAAAACCGTTACCCCTCACCCTATCGCTCCACTCCCTGATAAAGAGTCCCTCTCCATCTCTCCTGTACCCTTTAGATACTGGAAAGGACTCTAAGGTCTTCCCAGAGCCTTCTCTTCTCCAGGCTGAATAACCCCAACTCCCTCAGCCTGTCCTCTCAGCAGAGTAGCTCCAGCCCTCTGACCATTTTCGTGACCCTCCACTGGACCCACTCCAACAGATCCATGTCCATCTCACCATTCCTTTCAGCAGTTCCATCGGCCCAGCCTTATTGAAATTTTTTTGCCCCTTGCAACTTTTCTTCATCTGCCCCCTTCATTCCCAGATTATACTTGCTGGGGGGTTGTGTTGCTGTTTCCAGATACGCTGGCAAATTCTCGATAATGAGCCTGCTCCAATTTATTGGCCTGTGCTCTGCTTTGTGCCTCACAACTTTTGTCCCCCAGAAGGGCTGGTTTCAAATAGACCTGAAATTCAGCCAAAACACCTGTTTTAAATCTGAAGCTACATCCAATTAACAGTGCCCCACCACCATCACCACCACCACCTCAACCCACAGCTTTCCTAATCGTTTGCAACAGCATGAGGCGTGGAGGAAGGCAGGGATGCCAGCAGCACTGTGAACACCACAGCACCCTGTAGGATTGCAGGCATTACAGCCTGGCAGGCACCACACAGGGCAGAAACGACACTGTTGCAAGAAAGTGATATACATAATAAATTACAGAGGTCGTGCTGAGGCGAGGTTTTCAGCACTATACAATACACAGGGGGAGAAAGAGCCCTGTCAGCTTGTCTGTCCTTCCAGGATAGCTGGATGCCAGTGAAACACTGACACTTCGGGGAGCTTGTGAATACAAGACACAGCGTTTTCGCCGGAGCTGGATCCAGACTCAGGAAGAACTTTTCACAAGAGAAAAGAATGTTGTTTAGGTTTGTCACTTCGCTAAATATAGGAGTCCTATCTTCGCCTTAGTTTCTCTTCAGATATGTACTCCTTTCTCCTTTCATTCTCAAGCACACCCAGGCACACAAACAAAAACAAGTGAGTCGTAAACTAATCAAACTTGTTTTCTTCAGGTTGGAAAGGAAAAGAGATAATATTTTGATTTCAATTTCCAAATCTTTGGGAGGTGCTCAGATACTATCTATCACAGTGCTCCAAGCTCCTCACTGCATTGGTGTCAAGTGGCTCCCAAGCAATTAAAAAGCAACAAACAATTCCAAAAATAAGTTCTCCCATCACTTTACTCTCTCATTTCTGCTTATGAACAAAAATAACAAGCAGAATTTTTAACTGAGTGGGGTAAAACTATTAGGTTTCTGTGCATACGGAGAGCTGTAAAAAGGCTAAATTTATTTTTGGTTTTGGACCTCTAAAGCTGAGGTCACTTTTTGTCCCCTTAGGAATGAGATATTTTGTCCAAATCTGGTCTCAGTAACTCCTAGAGTCACAGGCTTCCTCTGTTTGGACAGTTTCACTGTTTCTGGGGAAAGCAACGGGCATAATGAGAGAAGAACCGATGGAGCCTAAATTACTTAGGCCAATTGCATGTAACTTCTCCAAAGAGCAACTTGAAGTGGGGTGTTGAAATCCTGGTCCTAGCTGAAGTTAGCATAAAAAATACCAGCAGAGTCAAACTGACTTGCATCTGTGATTTCCAGTATAATTTGGAAACAATACAGAAAGGTGATGTATTCACAGCAATACGTGTTGCTGTATCAACAGCCTGTAGCAGTCTCGGTGTGTTCATGGTGCAAAGCTTTATGCTAAAGCTGTCTTATCTCAGGCTCAGCTGGCGTATATGTCAGTGATTTATTTCCCCAGCATGGATATTTGGGACTCCAGAAGCAGTTCAGAAAGAGCCAAGAAATACAAACACAACAGTATCTTCAAAGAGCCTGGCATTATGAAGGGAGCGAGTTCTACATGTGCAAGGGCTCCTTCCACACACACAGCAATGGCATTATTTGGGTTCAGCTTTCACCAGATGTCCTTCCTTTGACACCGATTTTCCTTACGCATTATAAAGAGATAATCCTACTTATATATCCTGTCAAGCAGACAGAGCCGAATATCATTTGTATACAGCTTCTGTTTAAGTTGCCTAATAAATATTTCAGTAGCTTCATGGATGAGGGACAATTCCAAGACAACTCATCAGGAGGCACTTCTGGAGAGGAAGAACATTTGTCTGCTGGAATCCTGTGGTTTCGCTGTATTATTTGCTGCTGTGTGTTGGGGAAGGAGGAGAAAAGCCCTGTTGTAACAAGTAATGAAAGTTGTAGAGGGCTAGGACTATCTGCAGCGCCTGCACTTTGGCAACGCACAGGAGGTAATGACTCCAGTCGCTGTTCATAGAATGGTTAGAGTTGGAAGGGACCCTAGAGATCATCAAGTTCCAACCCCCCTGCCATGGGCAGGGACACCTCCCACCAGACCAGGTTGCTCAAAGCCCCATCCAGCCTGGCCTTGAACATCTCCAGGGATGGGGCATCCACAGCTTCTCTGGGCAACCTGTTCCAGTGCCTCACCACCCTCACAGTAAAGAATTTCCTCCTAATATCTAATCTAAATCTCCCCTCTTCCAATTTAAAACCATTAGCCCTTGTCCTGTCACTGTTCCTCATTGTCCACCACTATGTCTGGGTCATACAGGTACCAGGCTTACAAAGGGCATGTTAAGGAACAGGTAGCTAACGTTTATGAACAGAAGCATCAAGTAACTTTGTACAAAATCCTAAAAAGCCAAGGACAAAGCCACCAGCTAAGCCCAAGAGCCCCGAGAAGCATTAGCTGAGTAGCAAAACAGTGGGAAGCTGATCATGAAAACACCTGAAACCTACCCCTTTTTTAATGCTCACCGCGATGTACATTTGAGAAACTTTTGGTAAGCTTTCAAACAGAAATAACTCCTGGTAAAGTGGGAGGTGGGGTTGGGAGAGGGGGTTGGAACGAGATGAAAGGGTCCCTCCTAGATGAAACCCTCTGTGATTCTAACTCTGAGGAGCAGCAGGAACCGCACAGCTCCGAACTCCTCACTGCCTGCCAGCAGCTTTTCCCTTCACACTTCCATCCTCTGAGGCAACACTGGGAAGGAGTATCTCCGAAGGAGTTCCTACAAAACTTTCCAAGCTAAGAAATTAAATTAAAATAAATAAAAATAAAAAAAACAAACCCCAAACTTCCTTCGGGGCCGGAGACACACTTGTCCCACCACATCTTACACAGGGTTTAACCTCAGCAGCGGCCCAGCTTTGGCGGGCTGTCCCTGTCCCGC